TTGTTGGGAACTTTAACAATACAGTATTATGATGTTGCCGTATACACGTTGGTATAAAAATATTCTAATTAATATTGCTAACTGTGTTAAAATTAATGTACATAAATTAATTATCATGTAGTATCTAAGCACTATAGACAATGCAATTTTTATATAAAACTATGTTAAAAACCTATACATTGTATAAACGTTAGGCCAGTGCATGACAACTTAACGTCAGTAAACGTTCCTTTGCATGATTAAAAATGTTACAGGAGGCTACGACTAGATCAGATATATGTAGATTTGCCGGTCAAAGATATTTCCCAATATTCCGCATTGTTCAGCTTTCGATTAGCTATTTGTCCCGTGTATATAGTAATCATATTTACAGTTGACGTTAATTAACTGTCAGAAACTCTTGATAACTTCGAGATGTCTTTTAATATATATTTATGAGACAACGTGAAAATAAAAAAGATAAAAAAACCGTTACTCTCGAGCCGCGGATATTCTCAATCGATTCGAAACAGTCTGAAACTAGATGAGTAGTACGTAGGAGTAGGTTAACTATCGTTTGTCGAACTACGAGATATGGAACAATTTGTAGGGGTGAGTAATATAGTGTCGCGACTCTTGGCGCCACAATACTGCGACCCAAATAATAACTACATTGAACATGCGTATGTTTGAAAACGGGACATTGGAAATATACGCTCGATTATAAACATTCTCACGGTACGTAAGCACCATCCATTGGTTTGTTAGAATTATGTGCGACAGTAGAGAATGTTCCGACGTCGTAGAGGCGTCTACCAGGCGCCAGAGGAAATAGATTATTTACTTCTTCCGGAAAACAAACAATCGTTGAATTGAAATGGACTATAATCTAGAAAAATGGCTTCTATATTTTTCTAAGGAGATTCATACGTTATTATTCTGGAACATTTACGTTTTTCTCTATTTTCTTACCGTTATTGTACTAGATATACGCTGAACAAGAGTGAAAAACGTTTCATCTATGTAAGATTAATTTTTGAATCTATATGTTTCTGTATATATTCTTATTTGTTTGGATTTTAAAAATAATTATCGTGATCTTTTCACGTTCTTATTTTATGTAATATTTAATTCTATGTGTTGTTCACTGACTTTTTAACCATATTTTTTATATCAATTTAGAAAGTTGCAAAAATCGTAACACTTAGTTTTGCAATGACAACGGGTTAATCTAATAATTATTTGAGCGTAACTTTAAATGGTTAGAAAGCTAGTAATATCTTTTTTATTATTTCTTGAACAAAATTTAAATTTGTTATTAGCTGTTATCAACTCTTTTGTCTGTTAAAACTAAAAATCCAGTTTTATGAATCAAATATATATAAAATCACTTAATTATAATCTCATCTATTTTCTAAAACGTGAACTTTATAGTGTTTATAATAACGGAGTGGTGAGTTGTTTTGATTTTTAAGTAATTAAATTTCTTGCTGAAATAAACATTAAGCAAATGCACACAACCGTGGTCATATCTTGTAAATATTTCGTGTCAAACATGAAACATGTAAAGTACTTGTGAGAGGTGTATGAAAATACTGCAATGTCAAACTCAGCAACTTTCGAGTGATACAAACGTTGAAGGTGAAGAATCGCGAGATAATGACGAAAGAAGTGACTGTCCGTGCACAATGGGAAATGAATTTGCTAATTGCAATTTATGAAAAAAAGTTCGAATGTTTCGATATTCTATTTACTCGACGAAATGGAATTCTTGTAGATTTATCTCAATTTCCAAAATTCAATTAGAACTGAAAAATCAACGTTTTGCAAAAATATCGATTATTCAAAAAAATGTTACAAGTGAATCAAATGATATATAAAAACAAGTTATTGTTTATTACTTTTCTGTTGTTGAACGATTACTGCAAAATATACCATGTTCATGTAGTTTGATGTATGTTTACTACATGTAAATAGAATTACAAGCAATAACGTCATTAGTAGTATGCTTGTACTTAATATTAGATTGTCCGAAAAGTTTCTTTCGTTTTATGAGGAATTAATGGACGTATAACGTTTTTTGTTTTATATTATTTTGTCGAATTACGTACGATTCATTTTGTTCCGTTGGGATAAACACCGTGACATTTTACAGATTTGGTTTCACGTTTGCTTGAAGGTGCACTGTTGTAAAAAACACGTTTGGGAAAGAAAGACACTTTTCGGGCAACCTAGTAATTATTTCATTAAATAATCAATTAAACTGTATTATTTCGTACCATTACAACAAGACTACTGGGATATAATCTTCAGAAACCTAACAATATTAAATCTCTATTATCATAATTTTGAATGCTCCATCAATAAAATCTGATATATAGAGAATATTTTTTGAGATTATATTATTTGAGAAAAATGGTTCAAATCAATGTTTCAAGGTTTTAAAAGTTCTATTGAATGTTCATATTCGTTTGATCTTGAGTGGATCTAGGTTACATTTTTGGAAAAATTGTTTCGTTTTCAAAATATTTGGCCGTTTTCAGGCTTATCTAACGCCCTGTACGTTTAATATTATGCGACGGAAACAATTCTAATTCTGAAAAAATTATTTTTATAAGAACCTATTTTGTATTACAAATAACTGTTCTTTTTGTTTCACAGATAAGAATGTAAGATGCTATGTGTGTACTTCATTAACGCATCCTAATTGTGAAACAGATCCTAAGGCACATAACCTTGAACTTGTCGAATGTACTTTAGACCAAATGCTGGATTGGAAACTGAGAATTCAACAGCATAAAGCTTTAACTTGGGCAGCTCCAATTTTTGAGGTTGACGATTTGGATCATCAACTTGTCGCTCCAATGGCGTGTGCTAAAATGATTTTGAAAGGTAAATTATTCAGAGTATGAGAATTTTAGTTCATCATCGTGATAGATTTCAAATTTAGAAATGGTGTGAATAAACAAGCGAATGCGTGAATACGAGGGTGAAAGTGCCAAACGAAAAACTGTTGCGCTATACTTCTACTATTATCTTTATATTCAAACGTATCATTATTATTCAAATTATCATTTATCTGATTAATTACGTACCTAATTATTTAATTACCAATTATCCATCGAACGAATGTAAGCGAAGGAACTTTTATTTATGTTTATTAGATAAATATCAAAACATCACAATGAGAAGTTGCCAAACAGCGAAGACTGAGACCGTTGACCCGTGCAAATCGATAAATGCAATGATCCCTACATTAACTACGGACGATAAGAAGCTGGAATTTTGTGAATTATGCACGGAGGATGCTTGCAATAGTTCGATTACAATTTCGCCAACAATTTCCTTTACTTTGTTATCCGCTCTTGGAGCTGTAGTTTTGGGCTGTTTTTATAACAGCGCGTAACCTTTATATATCAAAATATAGAGTTGATTGCGATCAGCCTTACAGGCGTTGCTCGTTAATCGATTCATAGCGTATTCTAAGACTCGAAAACACACACATTAAGCATATATATATATTGTTCACTAATATTTCACATCGTGCCACGAGTATGTATCATACAATGAATATTCGAAAAAAAGAAAAAAAAATTAAAAATTCAGCGTTGTTAGATTAATTTTTGACTAGAGAATAAATTATTTTTCTGTATATTTTTATTGTTTTCTATATACGCACATAATTTATATTTGTATTTTCTGTAGCGAGATCGTAAATTCCTATTTCGTACAGACGAAAGATGCAAATTATTAAATAATCAAACTTCTTGTCGTGGTTAAATTACCTTTCGATAGTCTATAAGGGAATTCACCAGATTTGTTCCATTACTTTAGAATGACTTCTGATATATATATAAACGTTTCCGTCTTGTTTCTTTCTTGTTTCATAACGAAATGAAAACAACGAAATACCTATGAAAGAATTCCAGACAGAAATGTGACTTTCCACACAATTTCTATTGTCCAAATTTTAAGAAAAATTGGCTAGCAGATTTTGTATATCGAATACTTCGAGAAGCCCATGTCTATAGAATTATATTTAACGACTAATAACTTTATGCTGATTGAGCAATGGTCATTGCTTGTATGTGTGTTCATTATAAAAATTCGGATGTTATTATGTATATTTGTCAAATTGCATTTGCGATTAAATTCATTAAGCACGACCTTACAAGCATAAAGAAGTAAATATATGTATATTATATATGTACTTGAACTTATATGTGTATTGTACATACAAACGAAGAGGCTTATGAAATATCAAATTTGGCTAATGTTTATATCACGGAATGCTACTTAGCTTCTAAAGATGGAATATATTATTATCGAAAATTGTGACGAGCAATAAATATATATCGACCGGTTGTACTGTATTATCGTTAAAAATTCAATCCGCAATTTTTCGACAAATAACTGAATACTAAGCAATAAGAATTTTAAACTTTGTACATAAATGTGCGCATTAGAAAAATATACGTAATCCGTGAGGTTTCTCCAAGCGGATAAGAGCGATGTCTTTTCATATTAATTGAAATATACGTTTTCGAGAAAAATTTTAAAGAATGATATTCTCAAACGTAGAAACGTAGACTACCAATTTCAAGCTTATCAAATAGTGAAATAAATGAAAATTTATGTATGCGTGGTTCTTAAAAGAAATGATAGGTGATATGCGGTTAAAACTTGTCACGGCATTATCTATATTATTCACTTTTCTATTAATGTTATTTGTAAATATGTATTAATATTCACACTTAGTTTTAATATTAACACCGTGTTTTTTTACAATAATTCGAAAGATATTACAGCTTGATTTTTAAATTTGTATTCTAACGTAATATCTGTGCACTATAATTCTAAACGAGAATTTAAAAAATATATGATTGGAAGGGTTTGAAAATGCAATTACTCTGTACAGTTTTTTTATGGTACTTACTTTATGGTGATTATTCAATTATTAAATGCAACACTGAGGAACAATGTTGTTTGATAATTTTAACGTTTATAGATTATTACGTACACGAGGAAGATTGTATGCATAATATGTATGTATTTCTTAATACGTTTAACATCTGCACTGCAGACATCTGCTACAGTCCTTACCTTTATTATCATAGATAAGATAGCAGGTAGAACCAACATGGCTGCACAAGTAAGTTTGGCGATAATAATCGTTCTCATGAATTTGGGTAAGTAGAGCTTAAATCGGTAGCTTTTAATATTATTTTTGTGTAAGCGTTCAATGGAAATGACACTTAGTTAAATTTACTATTAACGCAATTGATAAGTATTAGGACAATTCAAAACAAATTTAATAGACAGTAATTATTGTAAATATTTTGTTATAATTTTTAGTCGGACAAAGAATAATTGCAATTATGCAAAGTGTCACCACTATGATATTCATTAATATCTTGTATATAGCTGTAATGATTTATAGTTAGATTAATTCCGTTGCTTCACCTTTAACTTTGTTTACTTTTAAGCTTAACATTCTTTCCAACCTTACTTGTTGACTACTTTAAAATCGAGAAAATTCAACCACTTAACAGAATACACGACAGGAGGAAATCTATGGTGTTACCAATGCAATACCGATTTGACAAACGGACATACAAGAGAGTGCAACGATCCTTACGTCCCGACGCCTTATTTCGACTTAGTTCTCTGTCCCCAAAACGAGTCGCAGAATTGTCTTAAAAGTGTCATCGATTGTGCGTATAAAGTATATCCAGTTGTAAATTACTGTTGCGTGCGCTCACCTTCATTACGTGCACGCATCGTATACATGTATGTAAATCGCATATGCACATATCTACTACGTGCTTATATTAACGTTGATTGCATTCGCACACGCTTCTACATACTAAATAGCCAATACCTTGGTAGTCCTTAGACTATGTCAAGAAATGTGTTTGTATTGTCCAAATGTCATATAAGTGACATATGCGAACATTTACAAATGAAACGTTTACATATCCACAAAGCGTTTCTTCTTGCAAAACTGTCGGTATATTTTATGTATGAGTAAGAATGAAAAAAATGTTATGCAAATGAGACTCGTAAATGCTTTATTAGCAAATTTACTGCTGAAATACAAAATGGTAACAAATTATTTTTCATTTAAATATAGTAATTAAACAAGCACAAGTTTAATATTAATGCAACTCTCACTACTAGACATTGCGACATTGGATTTTTCATTGCATAAAGTATCAAAAGAAAACGTTTGCACGATAAGATTAAGGAATTTTTTTACAATGGAAATAAAAAAGACAATCTTTTATGTACATACAGGGGTTGCGAACAGTATTTGTACTATTTTTGACCTTAATAATAATTAATGTACATTTCATTTTCACATTACGAATTTTTTAACAAAAAAAAAAAAAAAATGCTATGATAAATACAATAATAAAAAAAATGTATTGGAGGGAAGAACTTTATATACCTAATGGTGTTTATATTTATGGTGGTATATAGACATGTATCTATTTATCGTATACAGACTCAGAAATGCTATACTTTATGTAGCTCACTCTGTATATCATGTTTCTAATTACAAATATGCAAATTTCAAATTGAACAACAATGTCACGCAATCGAACTTAATGTACATTTTGCAATTAACATAGCACAGATGCTTTACATTTTTCAAGAGTATATTCAGTTTTTGATAAATTATTTATTAACTGTGATACAAAGTGTTTCAATTAAAAACTGATTATTATATTATAATGCAATAACACCATAAAGGATTTTTAATTATATTTTCGTAGTTTAAGAAACATACGATTTTATAATGATTATGCCATAATTCAAAAGCATGTAGTTTCTCTTATGATCTTCAATTGATTTGTAATATTTTTGAAACATATGCCACATACTAATTTTTAGTTAAAATTTGTTTTATGCTTTCACTAGTCATTCTTTTTTATTATTTAGTGTTAGCTTTTCTTTAATTAAAGAGTCTTCTAATATTGCTTTTCAATCATTTAAAATTTCCCATGTAGTCTACTCTCGGTTGCAATTCTCCAGGATTTACGATTATGTATTCATAATTTATTCATAATTAATTTATAATATAATATTTATTCATAATTATCATCTCATGATTTTGAGCTTTATCTTATTTCAAATGTTTACGCCACTCGAAAATTATTGAGAAAATCTAAAGAAATATTTTGATATGGCTTTCTTTCCAGTTAATAATGTTTACTTAATACTTATACTTTTAGCGTAACACATGAAATTTTATAATTTAATTGAGTATTATATTATTTGCGTTTGAGATTAATTAAAGTGATCAATTTATATACAGGGTGGTTGGTAACTGGTGGTAAAAGCGGAAAGGGGGTGATTCTACGCGAAAAAAGAAGTCGAAAATATAGAATAAAAATGTTTTTTTAATTTTTTAAAACTTTTTTTTTTAATTTTTTTTTTAAATCTACAGTGAGATCTGTTATAATGAGACGTGATAAAGTGCACGCGTACCGAGCGAAAATTCAAAGTCGATTTTCTCGAAAACAAAGCCTCAAACGAAAATTTTTTATTCTATATTTTCGACTTCTTTTTTCGCGTAGAATCACCCCCTTTCCGCTTTTACCACCAGTTACCAACCACCCTGTATATAAATTGATCACTTTAATTGTTTCTTTGGAATACGTATAGGAGCATTTGTTCCGTTCAGAATATACTAAAGATTTCGTGAGATCTTCGCGAGTAAAACTTACCAGCATGGTCACAAAGAAAGAATATTTTTGAGCAGGAATCTTAAAATATTATTTTTTAGAAGTTTTAGTTTCTTCTGCAATCAATAATCGGCGTACTAAAATAATAAATGAAGTGTTATAAATTCAGTATTTTCGAAGAATAATATAGAGACACGTTGCTGAAAGATACAAGTTGTTGAAGTTCCTGACCTGGATAAAATATGGCCAAATTTTCAAGGAACACAGATTATTTCACGTCATGTCAGTTCAGATACCGTCACACCCTTACCGGAAAAGGGATTATTGCGACACTGATGGTGATCGGAATATTGACTTTTTAATAATAATCATATGCATCCTAATATATATATGTATCCTAAGCATACTAAGGGTATCTTGGACATTCTGAACAAAATCCACAGTAGGCGTCTTTTAACATTCAAAATACGAACGTTAAACAGGCACTTAGGCATCTTTTAACATCTACGAAGTAGACATCTTCTAATACTAACAGATCAAATATCAGGCGAACACACAAAGATACATTCTGTATTTACAGGAACACGATTGTATAAACACATATAATTATGTTTAAAATATTACGTAATAAATCTTTCGCATCTAAAATGACGGATACGGACTTTTGAAGGATTAATGAAACATCAAAATACGTTTGAATTCTTAATTTTTCTCTCATAAAGGGATATGTCACTTTCAATACTGTATTGAATAATATAAACGTAAATTAACAAAATTATCGATTTATAGAATTAATAAATAGATGTATCTCACTGATATTTATCACTCTTGTATTGCTTGTCACTACAAATCAATTACAGACGTGGAGTATAGGTACGCGTTTATTCGATGAATTTTTAATTTCGATTTTTTCAAAACCGAAGCTTCTTCGGACAGATGTTACATTTAATTTTTTGATTTATTTTTACATGCAAAATCATTCTTCGAAGTATCACTTTCCAAAGACGATAGGATAATGCTTATGTTTAAACATAAACATAAAGTTTATGATCGTATAATAATTTAGTCATTTATTGAAGTCCACAACAAAGATCTATCTATGTTAGATGAGTGACATGAAGTAGTGATAACAATTTATAGTAACTATACAAGCATGGAATTATTTTTTTATTTACTGTTAATTTGTTAGTAAAATCAAAATCACATTCAGTCTTCTGAGAAGTCAGTTGTTTTAATGGCGTCGTAAGATTCCTTCTCACGTTTGTAAGCAATTATATAAAATAAATACTTGATATGCTACATTCAACGCTAAACTTAGCAACGCTGGTATCCAATCTTGTAATTCTTGCTTTTTACCACCGTCACATTGATTTTCATTTAGCTTAGTTTTAAGCTTTTTCTGTTTATGACACTGCCGAGACTATAAAATAACTACATATTTCCTTCATGATGTAGATGGGCACATATTGGTAACGGTGCGAGGTTGCGTCCCGTCACGAGAAATCGATGGATACTGCCAATTAGAGGAATATTTTCAGGGATCCAGCATTGCGTGTTCTTTCTGCGAAGGCTACGCTTGTAACAATCAAAGTTCTATTCGTGTATTCCTGCTACACAATTTAGCATTTCTTTTAGCTTCCATCGCTATAATATTGTATTTATAATAATATTTACTTTGCGTCTTATTTAATTCGTAATTATTCCATTCCAGAATTATTCGATTCCACAAACACGAAAAATGTTTCAAATTCTAGCGTAGTTAAATGTGTAGTTAAATACGTTAGTAGTCTGTAATCAATGTTAATATTTTTATGATTAATATTTTAAAATAAATGTAAATAATAATTCCTCGCTAATATTTAATTTTACAAATAATCTGTTATTTAGTATTCTGATGGTGATGTAATTAAAAAAATTTTAATATGCGCGATGCCGAAGTTGCGGAACCGATTTGTTTTCTCGTTAGTGATATTAAAAATTATATTAAAAATTTATCAACGAAAAGATTTAATTCTGTGTGAAAATTTGTACAAATCATGTCCTAGTCTATGAGAAGATAGATTCCGTAGAAAATAGATAAATGAAAATTATCGAGTCAAAATGAAATTCAATCATTTATCACTCTGGAATATTTCAATTTTTGAGAATAAAGATTTTGTGCCACAAAACACGTGAAATGTAAAATTAAAAGTATAAAATTGTTTTCTACACTCGATATATCACTTTTAGATTTGAAGCTGTTTGGATACGACATGATCGGTGTTTTATCAGTTGCTTTATTTTAAAATGACAGGAATTGCGTCGATACGGACTATAGATGAGAATCAAATTTGTGTGCTTTTTTTGTATAAATTTGGATTTGATTATATCACAGTGGAAAGTGTACACCATATTGACATAGTTTTGAGAAAAGATGTAATAAATGAACATACCTAAAGATGAGGAGATTCAAATGTCGACGACCAAACAAAACAAGTTTCAGATTAAGTTCAATTAAAGATTTCAATTGAATATCGTATGCGTAAGTTCACCAAATGTTGTATAAAAATTAGATTTATATAACACATTTATGTCATTTATCAGCCACAGAGAAAATCAAAAGTTGGTCTAATGATTTTATTATGTTTAGAAGCAATAATACTTAGAAATATATAAACTTTTTTTTTCTCTTGTACAAAATAATAAACTTAAGCATTTATACACAAAAAGGTATACCTCACCAATTTCATTTACTTTCACATATATTGTCAAGCTCAATGTTCGGAATAATTTCACTTGTACATACATACATACATACATACATACATACATATATACATACATACATACATACATACATACATACATACATACATATATACACCGTCTGTCGCAAAAGCAACCGAACTTTTAAATAACAAGGCAGAGGCATCGTTTTGAGGAAAATTTTTCATTTTATTCAAACCACATTTCCTCTAGGGCGATACAACTATTTGTATGACAAACTAATGCGACAAACAATTGTTACACGTTTTCTTATTCCTTTGAGAATGCTCGTCACAGCCTTGCAAATGTCTTGAATGTTGAATACTGTCATAATACGCTATATTATATTACGTTATAATCTATTACGTTATAGATTATGACGTTATATAATATTACGTTATAACGTATTACGTTATATTACGGTATATCACATTACGTTATATTGTATTATGTTATACAGAATGACGTTATATTATATTACTTTATAGTGTATTATGTCATAATAAACTACGTTGTATTATGTTACCTTATAATGTATTTACATTTCGTTATATAGTACTACATTATATCATATTACGTTATATTATATCACGTTACAATGTATTACGTTATATAGTATTTCATTATATTGTATTACGTTATAATATGTTTCGTTGTAATGTATTACGTTATATTATATCACGTTATAATGTCTTACGTTAAATTATATTACATTGTAGCATATTACCTGTATTGTATTGCGTGATATTATATTAGGGTATATTATATTACCTTATGTTATATTACGTTATACTGTATTACGTGGTATTGTATTACATTATATTACATCACATTATATTATATTGCATTATGTTTTATTACGTTATATTATATTACGTTATTGTATTGTATTTCGTTATATTATATCGCTTAAGTATCACTACACGTAATTAATTTATGAACTTTTATGCACGAAGAATTTAGTACAGAATCTAAGGAAGCTTCTGCAATTCCTTGGAGAGTGACTTAATTTCGCATAAAGTTGGCATATATGAAAAATCGCAGACACGAGGGGCGACTCTTCGAACTTCCACATAATGTACGCCACATGTAATTATTTTATGAATATTTATGCACGAAGAATTTAGTACAGGATTTAAGGAAGTTTCTCCAATGCCTTAGAGAGTGAATTAATATAGCAAAGAATTCTCACGTATGAAAAATCGCAGACCCCTATCGCGCTAGCCGCGATATTTGCTACGATAACTGTCCATAACTAATTAACTAAAGGGAAATTGTTTCTAAGAAGACTAAAACAAAAAAGAATTTCTAAATTTGTAAGAAAGCAAATATGGGAATTTTACTAGGTTACAATGAGGTCGGTTATGGCGTTCTTGTAGATAATAAAATAATAGTTGCGAGACATGTTGATATCGTAGAAAGAGATGTAAAATGTATCGGTTTAGATAAATCAGATGAAGAAAATAACGATTGTGTAAATGACAAATCATCGGATGATAGCTTTGAAAGCGCTGATGAAATTGAACAAGAAAAAGTTAAAGAAAATAAAAATGATTCGAAATCTAAGATTGATTTTGTGCATATACCACGTAAATCAAAACGCGAGAGAAAAGAACCAACTAAATATCCAGGAAATATATGTCGGAGATGAAAGAATACCAGAGCCTTTGGAATTTTGGATAATCCCGCAACATTGTAACCTAGAGTCTATTATAGCTGTAATTGAACAATTATAGTCATTCAATTCGATTGTAATTGTTCGAAAGTTGTGATAATGAGCTTGGGCTCGAGGTGACAGTCAGTCGCCGAACGTAGCCGCGGTCACGGGATGAGCGCTTTGTCTAACAAAGGCATGGAATAATTCTATTTAAAAAGGAAATAGTTGTAACACTCGACAGTAAACACTCCAACGGTCTCTGTCCCGCAGCTCGCCACACGCAGAACCTATTCTTCGAATAAGATGATTGCCAGATGTTGATGCGTCTCCGCAGTACATGTTCAGC